ATTCCTGCTATGAGCTCTGACTATGAAAACATACAAATTCCTCCTCGAAGATCCACCAGAGCAGGAACTTTTACTGAGTTTTTTGAAGATCCCAGCAGGGCATTGTCTGCTGCTAATGAGAATGATGGCTATGTGGATATGAGCAGCTTCACTGGCTTTGAGAACAAGCAGCAAACCACAGACCAGGAAACAGAAAGGTACTGTAATAAATTATTATGTAAAACCTGCTAGCCTTGGCCAAACAGGCAAGGCCTCCCCTCCTAGGTATCGTAGGCAGATCCTGCATGGTGCTTGGCTTACATCCCCTTTCAGGGAATGCTTACAAGAAAGATTGGAAGAATACAGGATAAGCCTTTATCAGTGAAAAAAAAAAAAAAGACACCAAATTAACTCTTTACCTTGTAAATGTATACTAGCAAGTCAAGTGGATCTGGATCAAATGGCTTACAAATACAAACCAAAGAACATTTAAAAGTATTTGGTTTATCCATGGATGTAATTTTTGTGGCTTGGGGAGGTGGGGAGAGCTTGCTTTATTCTTCGGTAAGAAAGGTTTCTGACTTCTTGACTGAAGGAAAAGAGAACCTATTTGCTGGAAGGGGTCCTGCTTAATTTTCTCATTCCTGTTAATTTCTCAAAGCAACAATATATGTATAATTTATCTTTCAAAGTACATCAGTTAAGTATACACCAGAAAATCGCAAATCATGAACTAATCAGACTAGACAATTAATTTTAAGAGTTGCTTTACAGCCTATCATTGCGTCCCTTTGACAAACCCTGATTTATAAAAGGAATTAAATTTGAAATCATATGCATTGCTAACATTAAAAACAGTCTTTCATCCCATTCCATTAGATTATTTGCAGATAAGAAAATGTCCTTTTCATAGTTACATAGGAGCAATGCAATCGAGACCTTTGAATGTGAATCTGAATCTTGTCAGACTATAGCACACAATCAGTGAAGTGCAGAGATGTAAATAAGATGAGAGTTTTCCATTGTTTGTGTTAAACAGGTTATGAGAAAACAGGGTGCAAAGAAAATGAATGAAAAGGAATGTCTTTAATGCAGTTGCATTTTGTTAGAGCTTTGTGAAAAAGATGAACATCTCAAAAGCAAGGTTTTCACATCCATTTTCATCCGCCATTCTCCTTCTAAAGATTTAATACTCCTGTTTCTGTGCAACATTTATTTTTTCTGATCCTCTCCCCTGTCTTTGTGAATGGAACAAACCATGGGCATTTCACACATCCCTCTTTCAATACTTCAGACTTGCAGGAGTAAAAGAACTTTTCTTTAACACTTCTGAATGAGTCTTGCAAACCACTTCTAAGACAAGAATGATGTACAGTGCTTTGTTTCTCTGAGAGAGGTGAGAATTGGCAGAGGTGGGGCAGGCGAGTATGACATGGGGAAAGAGACTGCATCAGTGCTTAAGCTGTGGATCCAAACATGCCTGAAGCTGAGGGGTCTGGGACACAGGCCTGTGGTTTAGCTCTCTGGAGATGTTGGCTGCCTACAGTTTTGCGAGCCCCAGTAGTGCTGACACTGGGACATGGTGGAGTACAGTGCAACTTCACAACGCACACAGCCACATTCCCAGAGCAGTGCTCAGCAGAAGCTGTGTTCGCAGGGCCTGATGGCCCATTAGTCACAAAGCTTTCAGAAGTTTGCCTTGCGCCCAGCACACTGACATTTGCTCTTGTAAAAGCTGGCCAGTTCTTTGTGTCCATGAAACGCCGCCCATTTTAGGTAGTTCTTGAAGAACCAAGTTAAAAATATTAAAACTACGTCAATTGCTGTGACTTGGGCCCATTTATGAACTTCCTGTGGAAGCTTGTTGTTTCAAGGGGAGAGCCAATCCAAACCGGTTCAGGAAGTCTCAAGGTCAAGGCGTGAACATAATTTTTCAGTCTGCTGCTTGTTGTGCATGCATTTTTTGCTGTTGGGGGAGAAATGAAGGCTAGGCTCATGAACAACCCCTTTATCGGTATAACTGGTATGGAGGGGAAGAGCATCAGGCAGACAGCAATATACATACATTGCTGCTGAGATTGCTATTATTTGCTGTATTTGTCAGGATGTTTTGGACAAGGACATGCCTGAAAAGCTGTGACAAGGTGTAAATCAGTAATACAAATGCAAAGGCGTAATATATCTGGAGAAACAGTGTATGGTCTAATGGTAAAGCAAAAAAATCATGCAAGTACGTGTACAGGAACACATTTACACATGCATACATGATGTCGGGACATGGATGTTTTATTTCCTGCTGCAGCAGTTCTGCCTAAAATATCTCTCAATGGATTTGAGCTTTCTAAAATGAATACCTATCAAACACAGCTCTACCACAACCACACAGGGATAAAAATGACTTTGAACTCCAGCCTGCTCATATCCTGAGGCTTATTCAACCATTTGAGAGTACAGGAGTACTGGATTAAACCCTTGCAATACACGAGACTTGAGCCGATGAACTTCTCTTTGGGGCATTCACCTGCAGAGCACTGGTATTTAGAATCTGCTGATACCTTATAGAATTGCTACATTTTTGATGAATGGACAAGTACAAATCGTGTGTTACATTTCAGAGAACAGAATGCGAGAGGGAACCTCCACTACTGTGTGTGACTGGGGAAAAGCATGGCAGGAGGGGTGCTTATAGAAATTGATAGATGAGAAGATTCACAGTTTAATTTCCTTGCTTAAAAGGAAAGACCATGTGGAATAGACTTACACCAATAATTTCTAATTAGAAGCAATCAGGTTTATAGAAAAAGTCCAATAACGAAAGTGTTCTAGAAATATATCTTAACTTAGAATTACCATTGCCAGAATAGAACTGGGAATACTGCCCCCTGAAGGGCAGTTACTGTGTATCTCCAAAATTTAGCTATCTGGTATTAATAATTAAACTCTGATTCGAGCGTATGACAATATAGATCATCATTAGCCTTCTGTACAGTGTAGAAATAACGGGCCATAAGTGGAATTGGACAAAATTCCCCTGATCTTTCCGCAGTCCACAATGCCTGAATCAGACTCAATTTTCATTTGCTTTTGAAAAGTCACTTTCTAGCCCCTTTTCTCTGAAGAGCTGCACTACGAAGTGCAAAGCAACACAAACCAATTGTTCAGGCTGAAAGCAAAAGACAGCTGTGCCCCACCTCTGGGGACAGTGCACTGTAACCTATAGCACTGCCTTGACCTTCAACACCTATACGTCTCAAATGAAAGTCAGTTTGAATTAAAGTATTCTGTCACATGTCTTAAAAGAGTAGCTTCACTAACACAGCTTGACCTTCAGAGCATCAGTTGTGCATATGGCAGTGTGATAAACATCAAGGAGATGGGAAGGAGATATCTCAAACACTCATTTCATAGTCTACCACAGTATCACTTGCAGTGCTTTTAGGAGAGATGGGGACAGTCTTTTATGAGGGTTTAGATAAGGCCAGGAAGATGGTACAGGTTGGGTGTTTTCAGAATTTCATTTCCCTCTTTTGCTTTCTACTTAGAGTCTATAATCTGGATTTACCAGGTTTGCTGAGTCTCAATCCTTCTTTCTGCTAAAATGCTCAAAATCCAGAGAGGACAGAAGATATGGAGAAGAGAGGAATAAACGGAGTATACCTGCAGTTCCACAGCTAATCCCACTGTGATGTTGAATATTCATAAGAAAACAGCTAAACGCCCATGTTGGTGTTACCTCTACATTCCTATATCCTTCTACATAAAATGGTCATCAATACATACTAGAAGAACCTCAGTCTGATTACTTAACCAACAGCAGGACTTGCTCAGATGTTGCTTCTACAAGTGAATTCTTGGGGGCCAGTGTGGGGATTCCAGTGCTCTGTGAAGGCCCACAGTAATTCCTAGTAAGTCAGTAGAATTGCAGTCTCTTGCCTGTAAATTGCTCCCAAGGCTCCGGCTCTCCACTGCTTTTCAAGATATATGGCATCTGTCTGATGCTTCTCAGCTTTAGTATAATCAAGAAAGCTGATCACCTCTTCAATATCCTACTCCTTTGTAAATGCGTTTTATTCCCGAGGGATATACTTCGTCAAGAAAAAGATGGAGAAAAACTGTCTTTAGTAGAAAGTCAGGGAAAAAAACATGGTTTATGTATGTCAACAAGTGATTCCTTTAATTTGGCTAGACTGAAGTAGGAACATAGAGGTGCTTAGGGACTGATACAACAGTGCCAGTGCTAGCATTGGAGAGGATGCTTCATGGGTAAGCAGCTACGTTAGAAGCTTTGTAAGCATTCCTCTTTGTGAATAGCCATAGTCAGTCTGGGCTTCTGCCAGGCCTACGCGCAAGATCACAAGGACTACGTCAGCACAGACCAATTCCAAAATGTATACCAAAATCATACTATAGTTAGACAGCAATAGAACCACTGCCTATGGTCGACGGGCCACAGAGAATGCAAAAAAGGAGAAAAATCCAGTGGAGGAGCAGTTACTTTCCCCTCCAGTGAGTATGTAGCTGTCCCCCTGCTTCACCACTGGGTTCATCAGGCTATGTTCTATCAAATTATGTCACTTAAGTGCTTATATCCTCTCTGCTCCCTGCAGGTCATCAGTCACTGATTAGCTCCAGGAGTGCAGCCAGGGACAGTCTGTATGACCGCCTATTCCCTACCTTTCTGTAACATACACAAATAAAAGCCTAACAAAAGTTGAGCATAATAAACATCTTCGAACATGAATTCTCTGCCTAAAAATGGTCTCAACAGCATGCTACTCAGACCTTCATATGCCCTTAAGCTTAAGGTGAAATTTAAACCATTAGAGTGAATTTCATCAAACATAGCACATGTTTTTAACCAATAAAATCAAAATGTCATATTTCTGGCTCTCTTTGCTCCTTCAAATGAGAAGCACAAATGTTATATAAGATAAAATCGCCAACTGTTAGAGAGGCACAGTGTGGTGTCTAAGCACAGCATATGAAGGATAAGGTGAAAGTCTAGAGATAATTACATAATAGAAGCTTCAGTGTAAATAGTTCGCACACCAAAATAGTAATGACCAAGAAAGGGCGATCAGTGTTGTCATATTTAAAATAGTGAAAGAAATATACAGGAATATTATGTATCTCTTGTTATAATTGTGAATCAGTGTAATTTCTATAACCTCAAGGAAATTCACAGTGCTTTAATTTACATAAAAGACGAGTAAGTTTC